CGGCCTCCCAAAGTGCTTGGATTGATTGCAGGTGTGAGCCACCATGCCCGGCCCCCACTCCCCTACTTGTTGCCAATTAGACTGTACAGATGCTTATCCAGGTGTGAACGTGCTTGCCACACATTCAGACTCTAAGTTGGGGGGGGGGAATAAAGCGAGGTATTACCTGTATGTATTTAATGTTGATATAAAATAAAAGTCTTCTCCTGGCTAAGGTATGGGATGTTTTGTCTCTGAGTTACTGAGCGTGGTCCACATTCTGAAGGCAACTTCTGCTCCTTCTCCTCTGCAAGTTATGTAGTCTCATTCTGGAAGCTTCTCCTTTCTCAGATTCACTGGAAAGCAGGCGTCCTCATTTAGCTGGGAAGTCCCTTCTTGCTGTGTAGCGGGAAGAGCTTTGAGTTAGGGAGGTCCTGGGATGACTGTGGGACCCCCACACTGCCCTTAGCCACCTCGGCCAAGCAGATGAGCCCGTCTGTGCTCCAGTTCCTCTTGCGGGGAGGACAGCTGTTCAGTAAAGGATCAACCTTGTCCAAAGAGCCATCTGGCCTTTTCCCCAGCTTTGCAGTAGCTGAGAGGCCCTTGGATGCCGTGCTTGGTGAGGGTGCCTTTGTTTAGCTGGGCACCTTGGGCCCTGCTGGAGAGTGTATGCTAACAACATGATTTATGCTGGGGGTCTCAAGCCACACGGGATGGCTCCACCTCTGAGGGGCTGGACACTGAGGTCATCACGTACACATGATTAACCAATAAAACCCTGGATGCCAAGGCTTGGGTAAGCGTCCCTGGTTGGCAATACTCCATGAGAGCTGGTGTACACCGTCACGGGGAGGAGCCACATGTCGTAGGGCTCCATGGGGAGAGGACGGCTGGCAGCCCCGAGCAGAGCCGGCTTTCTCCTGGATGGCCCCGCCCTGTGCATCTTGTCCTATTGCTGACCTTCACCGGTCCCTTACTTGTCATTATTGTAGCCGTGTGTCCGACAGCTTTACTCACCTCTGTGAATCCTTAGAGGGAACTCTGGAGCCTGGGGGTGGTCGGAGACTTCGGGAAGGCCCCAGGTGCAGGACAGGCTCCAGGTGGGCCGCATGTCCCTCCTCTGCTCCTCACGCCTGTCTCACGCTGACCTCTTATGGTCTTATTTAATTATCATGTCAATTTCATGTGGCAAGCTTTTTATTCTAGTCTGTTTGAAACTCACAAAAAAGCAATCCTGAAAGAAGAAACCTCCAGGTTTCCCGGCAAAGCATTCGCTAGAGCATCACACAGGCTTTGACAGCACTGGAAACAAGGCGGCCTTCTTACAAGCCATCTGATAGCAACACGTGGCATACGTGATGGTTTGATTTCAGCTCAAGCCCTGGGGTCAGCCCTGGTTTTGTGGGCTGTGCGGGCATGTCGGTCTAAGCATCGACTCCTGTTTGGAAGGAGGAGGTGACCCCGTTCTGAGCCTCAGGTATGGCACTCACTCAGGGTCGCTCCTTGACTGAGGATCCACTGTCAACAGGCACCAAAACACCTAAGAGTTACCTGGAGGGCGGGCTTGCCTGGGTGGCATTAGACACGGAAGCTCCAGGTCAGGGAAGTGCACAGAGAGGAACCCGCAGGGAGAGTCAGCAGGGGGCTTGCCAGCAGGAAGGGACTGTTGTTTTGGAGGCAGAAATGAAGATGGATGAGGTCACCACACCTTAGAAAGGTTTGGGGGGGAATGTCAGCCTTCGGCTTCTCAATGTTAGGCTTTAACGCCAGGATCCGGCCTAACCCTCCCCTTTCCTGGCGCCCCCTCTGATCCACATTCTGCCTTGGGGGTGGTGTGTGTGTGTGCATGTGTGAGTGTGTGAGACGCTTCTGGACGCAGACGCACCTGAGCAGCGCTGTTGGCTGTAAAGTGCCCATGTAGCGTCCCTGGGGCTCCCGGGACCCAGTCCTCCTCATTCCCCTTCCACTGTCCTTTTTCCATCACAGCTGTGCTGCATGTTCACCAACAGTATCTGTTGCTGGCTGCTTTTATTACAGAAATTAAGAAGATAGGTCAAAAAACTCTTGGATTGCCAGGTGTGGTGGCACAGGCCTGTGGTCCCAGCTCTCAGGAGGCTGAGGCAGGAGGATCGCTTGAGCCCAGGAGTCTGAGTCCAGCCTGGGGAGCAAAACCCCATCTCTAAAAACAAAAAAAAAAAGCCCCAAAACATAAACAAAAACCTCTCTTGGATTGACCAGTGATCAATTTGTTACACATTACCCTATAAAAATTCACAAATCCTTATGCCTGGTTCAGCCCCAGCTTATGTTTATTTACCTGTGTATTTCTAAAAACCCTCAAGAGCAACCACCCTAAACCATGACCAGGAAGCCCTGGAAGTAGAAAAACAGGAATTACAGAGATCATGCAGTTTTTATGTGCCCCGCCCCCACCCCCCACCCCCAAGTTCTGTGGAATTTACATCATGCTTTTTACACGCAGCAGAAAGTCTTATGACAGTAGGGGGCACTTGGCTTCCAGTCAGTTTGGGCTCATCTTGGCACCTCTATGCCTAATCTCTAAAAAAAGAGCTGAATTAAGCTTAATGGATTTCAAACTTTTTGACAGTGGAATCCATTTTTTTTCCTTATATAAAACCACAAATGTTAAATAAGAGCTGAATTTTTACAGAGGCTAATATGTTGGTGGTCTCCAAAGTGCTGAAATTTAGCATTTTTGTTTAAAAAATTTTTAAAGTTTTGGCCGGGCATGGTGGCTCACGCCTGTAATCCAAGCACTTTGGAGCACAAGGCGGGCGGATCACCTGGGTTTGGGAGTTCAAGACCAGCCTGACCAACATGGTTTGAAACCCCGTCTTAAAAAAAAAAAATTTTTTTTTAAAGTTTTTAGCTGGACATGGTGGTGCGTGCCTGTAATTGCAGCTTCGGGCGGCTGAGGCAGAATTGCTTGAACCCGGGAGGCAGAGGTTGTAGTGAGCTGAGATCGTGCCACTGCACTCCAGCCTGGGTGACAGAGCTACACTCTATCTCAAAAAAAAAAAAAAAAAAAAAATTAAAGTTTTATAAAATCCAAACTTACATAAAAACAAAAGCCTCAGGCTGGGTGCGGTGGCTCATGCCTGTAATCCCAGAACTTTGGGAGGCTGAGGTGGGAGGATCACCTGAGGTCAGGGGTTCAACACCAGCCTGGCCATGGTGACACCTCGTCTCTACCAAAAATGTAAAATTAGCCAGATGTGGTGGTGTGCACCTGTAATCCCACCTGCTCAGGAGGCTGAAGCAGGGGAATGGCTTGAAACCAGGAGGCGGAGGTTGCTGTGAGCCGAGATTGCGCCACTGCACTCCAGCCTGGGGGACAGAGCAAAACTCTGTCTCCAAACAAACAAACCAAAACAAAACAAAACAATAGCCTCTGAGGAACGGGAGCTGCTGGACTGGAGTCGAGCTTTTCTGGTTCTGAGGGTCAAGTGCACCATCACAACCCACAGCTGTCACAGCTGTCTCTTGACACTGTCTCCATGGGGGCTGCTTCCCCAATGCAATAACAGGGCTGAGCTCTGGGTGGCCCTGGGTGTCTCATGGGGCAACAGTCATGAAGGACAGACCCTGGGGCCCATGACCCTGGGTACCCCCTACCTTGCAGGGACTGGGGTTCTCCCCAGTGTCAAGTGGTGGTGAATGCAGATGCAAGGGCTTCACCTGGAGTTCAGGAGGAGAAGGAAACATATTTTAATGAGGAAGGTGAGCCCCCTTTAAGTGATCAGGCTCAGAGGCACTGGAATGAGACCCCACTCCCCCTCCCGCCTTGGGAAATCATCCGAAGGTTGCTGTGCGGGCTCTAGACTGGCACCGAGAGCCATGCATATATCTAACAATGACACATGCCAGACACCATAACTTGTGGCCTCTAGTTCAACAATGTAGAGCCAATCACGAATCAAGCGTTTCTGTCAACCAATGAGAACGCCTGAAAACAACTTGAGTAACGGCCCCTTTCCTGATCCGTCCTGTTCCCTTTAAATGCCGGAGCCTCTCTCTTTCTCCCCACAGCATTTCCCAGGCTGCAGCTCTCAAACTGGGCCCAAATAAGCTCTCTCCCCATGTTTAATTTTTGAGCCAGGGTCTTGCTCTGTCGCCTGGGCTGGCGCGCAGTGGTGAGATCTCAGCTTACTGCTGTCTCAGTCTCCTGGGCTCAAGTGATCCTCCACCTCAGTCTCCTGAGTAGCTGAGATTACGAACATGACCCACGGCGCCTGGCCTCTCCATAGTCTGTCTCAGTTTCTTCTTTTAGGATGACAATACCATAACTCCACACTGTCCCCCGGGGGGGTTCCTATGGCGTGGCATGGCGCTGCAGGCATGTCCCCTCTGTTCATCACTGCCTGTGACGCTGCCCGTCTAGAAGGCATTTCCACCATGTAACGTGGTGGTGGGGGCTGGGATCCCAGGCCACACTGCTTGGGTTGAAACCTGGCTCCACTCAGTATTCGTGTGACCTTGGGCAAGTGACTTCGCCTTTGTGTGCCTCAGTTTCCTTATTTGTGAATGAGGATAAGAGTGGTAAATTATTTGGTGGGTTGTGAGAACTAAGTAAATTAACCCAGGGGCATGAGGCATCCACCACGGCCCTGGCATGAAGGTGGTGGTAAGAAATACGAGTTCTCCTTGTCATTACTGCCGATGGGTGACGCCAGCCCTTAGGGAAGGAGACATAAAGCCAGTGCAGTGTTGCCTTTATGCTTCCTGCCACCCCAAAATAGCAGCAGCGTGCAGCTGGGCTGAAACGGCAGCACGCCTCTACTTGGTGCGTCCTCTCAAGAGCTCTTGAGCTGTAGGGAGTTACTCAGCACCAGGTTTCCTCCAGCTTCAAGAGGGGGCTAAGGAAGGCAGTGGGCAAACATCTAGGCTGCGCAAACAGCGATCTGAGTAGTGGCGCAGGATGTGACGTCTTCTGGCCGGTGTGCCTGCTTTTAGGTGCAAGTGGGGCGTGTGTGATTCTTCAAAATAGCCAGCAAGGTTACCAGACCCTTGGACCAAAGACCACACTCTGCCTGGGTCTCAGCCTCATCCACGTGCCCCAGCTGCAGAGAGTGGCAGCATCTGCATCTGTCGTGTGAAGGGAGCACAGACACCACTGGGTAGAGAAGGAAGCCCAGGGACACAGCTTGCCCTCCCACGCCAGCCGGCGTGCTGACCACACGCAGCCACGGAGAGGTGAGGTTACAGCCACAGCACGAGGAGATCAGTCCTTCACCCCGTTTCCACGGGCTTCTCACAAGAGTGTCAGTGAGAATGGTGATCTCTCTGTGGAGGAGCAGGCAGGTGAACTAGGATTCCGAATTCACACTCTCAGCAATTCCTTATTTTCAAGACTTTCATTTCTATAAACTGTATTGATTCACCTTTTCCTACTCAAAAAAGCCTCAAAACCAAAACCAAACCAAGGGGTGGTTTATAAAAAGTCACTCTGCCTTTTCCACTAAATAAGTAAAAAATCAGCAGATAGACTTAGCTTTGAACAGCTGTGGCTAGCAACAGGCCCAGCCAGCGCTCCAAGGCGGGCTGGTCAGAGATCAGCGGCCGTCAGCTTCTCTGTGTGTGGGCGGCCCTGACCTAACAGGAACCTGGTAATATCAGAGCCAGCTTGCCCAACGCCATGGCTAAATTTAGTTTCATGATGAGCAATAAAATTCACATGTTCTTTATTTAGTCCATATGATACACTGTGTTTTAGAGTTTTTGAAAATTAGATAAAAGAGCATATTAAATGGCAAGTGTTTGAAGTTCCTCTTCATAAACAATGTCAAAACAAAAAGTTTTGAATTACAAAATGTTAAAAAATATGTAGGTACTTAAACATTTCACTAAAGCATAAAGTTACAGATATTTTCTAAAGAAAAATAATTGTGCCACTTACCTATATTTGCTGTTTCTATGAACTTTTTTTATTCTGTACATAGGACATTTTGTACAAAATATGAAGTCTACATTTTTATTACTTATTACCATAGAACAAAGATACAATGTATGTACAATATTAAAAGGAAGTCATACTAAAGCCACACTAAAAAGACACTTGGAATAGTGACATTTCTGATGTACAGATACATTTTGGAAAGAGTGAAGATGCCAAACGCAGAACTTTATGAAGAAAAACAGTCACCGGTTTATTTTCGATGCAGTACTTTGAAGTCAGTTTGGTACAGAATAAACAGTCTCTATACAATGATACGTAAGCGGAACGATGAGCACAGGAGTCCGAGTACTAGTGAGGGAAACTTTAGGAGGCCAAAATGTGAAGTAATACTCTTGCCAAAGAAAATTAGTTTCTCTCAAAACTTTGATTTTTCTTTTTGGTGAGTGTTTGTCTTCAATAAAGAGCAGAAATAAAACCTAGACAAAAAGATGTTCTTACACATTGAGCTTTACACAGTCACCCAAACATTGATATTTTGCTTTTTCCCTAGGGCAAAAAGAGAGTCTTCCCAGAAACCTCTCTCACAAACATACTGAACATCCAAAATCAAGGATATTTGAGAATCTATCAGCTAAAGACGGAAGTTCAAACAATGGTATATCAAAATACATAAGACGCTGCTTTATACAATAAAAAAGCACCCTTTTTCCCTCAAAAGGAGAAGGCATCTAAACTTTTTTATTTTTTAAATTATAGATTTCATAATGGTAAAATGGAGAGATACTTGTCAAGTTTCTCAGGAAGTGTTCATCTCACAAAGCGGACTTGTCCACTTTTAGCGGGGGCAATCTTTGCATTTCATACCTGCGCTTGCTCTTGACACGAGAAGTCCCCTCCCCCCAGGTGATTTTCCTCCAAGACACGAGGACAGAAGCATTGCCAGTGGCTTTAAAGACAGCAGTGGGCAGTAGCACTGCAGCAGTGTCTGCTGCTCACCATCCTTTAAAGGATACCCGAGACCTCGATGAAAAAACAGATCCTAAAAGAAGCCACGTTTTGTCTTTTATGCGTCAAGACACTTAACATTAAGTTATATAATCTTATGCCAGAGATAAAAGAAACTAGAATCACGTGTTTAGAATAGCAGTACACATCTCAAGTAGCTTTCAAGCAGGATAAGTAAGTCAAAATACTGGCCACCCTGAGAGAAAGAAAGAGTAGACGAAGCGCTAAGCTGAAAGATTTTTCTCCTTGTGCTGTTCCATCTAAAACGAAAGCTCAGTACATGCAAGGAAGCCTGTGGAATACATAGCAGCATTTGAAGACCGAAGAGAACTCAGACACTGTGTGTTCCTGACAAGGTGTTGATAACGTGTGCTCTTCTCAACAGAAAGAGCCCCATGGAGCCCCATCCTCGCGGGCGCCCCCTCCCAGCGCTCAGGACCGCATCGCAGCCTTAAGTGACGGCCGCGGCAGTGCCGGCGGGCAACGCGGCTTGCTTCCTTTCCGCTCAAAGGCAGCTGCAGCCTGCATTACGCTAAGAACTGGCTTCACTCAAAATGATTTTGTTCTAACTTTCCATAAAATGTGGAATTCTTAGAGACTAGAATTTTATCAGTTCAAGAGCCTGTTTGAAGGGCAACAATGTTTAAGTTGAATGGAAACGAAATCTGCAAATAAAAATGTGAACATGTAATTTTTAAACTCCAATTTCTGTCGAGATAGGCAGAGCAAGCTCTTTTAAGATGAATTTCAGAGCAATCTCTTTTAAAATAAATTTCTTCTACAAGCTTACTCCTGGAATCCTGGAGCAGCACAGACTTGGAAATATGGCTTTAGATACACACAAGAGAAGGAGACATGGTCTTCATGTCACTCATCAGAGTAAAGAGATCCCTTAGAAAAGACCAGCGCCTGAGGATTGTCATTTTCCCAGTATGTCGTGTGAGAACTCGAAAGCAAAGAGCCATGTCACTGAGACTGAAAAACGAACGCACGAGAGCTGCTGGCGTAGCAATCATGTGGAAACCATTCCAAAGGCTGTAAAGTCTTAAAAAATAGGCTACACTTGTTAAAGCGTTCCTTTGATTTGAAAAACATTGATGTTATCACAGAACCTCCTATGTTAAAAGATCCTAAGTTCCATTTGGGAGAACGTGAGGATGACGGGCAGGGTGCTTTCCTATCGCTCTGACTTTGTGAAATAGTCTGACTTGGACTGCGCTGGGGTGGTGACGACACTGTGGGACACTGTCGTCAACCCGCGGCTCTGCCAGCGGGTTCTGGGAAGTCACCATTGTTTGAACTCCTAATCTCGCGCTGAGGCGGACGCACGTTATTGCCTACAGAACGGGGTCCAAGAAAGCTTTGACTTTGAGTGTAACTGATTGGTATGGCACAGAAAGTATGTATTTTCTACAGAATCCAGAAAAGAACCGGTGGGCCCAGCCCCGATGCGGCCCCCAGAGGCTAGCGGCCGTCCTGGGAGGCCTGCTCGTCGGCCCTGCAGTGAGCTTCCAAGGCTTTCTTGGTGTGGGGTTCCTGAGGCAGCTCGGACTTGCGGCGTGCAAGGGGACGGTCCTTCTTCGGATCTTTCTGTGCCTGGAATTAGAAATGCAGTGGTGTTGGCTCCAAACTAAGCTATCTGAAAAGCGAGCTCACGTCTGAGTTGGAAGTCAAAGGACAACTGCGAGGCACATGTGCCTCACCCCTGACTACCGGCACCCTGGCCACAGGGAAGGGCATATGTCTTATCATGGAAATTCACCAAAAATGTCTTGCTACTAAAAATCAGGACTCGTGTGAGGGCCTGTGTGTTCAATACCGGCACGCTGGTCTTCTGAAATGTGCTGTGCTTTTATAAAGGACTCAGTACCTCTAATCTGCAGAATTCATGCAGTTTAGTAAATCTCATAAACAGGCCGGGCGCGGTGGCTCAAGCCTGTAATCCCAGCA